TCGGAACGCAAAAAGAAGGGGCTTTATGCTGGGTTAGACAGTCAACTTAATCGAGAGCAATAGTATTACAGTTTAACCATCGGGTCAGAATAGGGTTGTTGAGATTGAGGCCGATATTATACAGAAAGTCACATTAAAAATTAAAAAAAAAAACTACTGCAGAGGAGAGGTGGGGTTCGTAGGAACTGCATTAGGCCGGTACATGCGGCGTAGTAACTTCATTAGCTCCTTCCATACCCACCAAGCTACGAAGACAAGGCTGGGTAGATCGAAATGGGCCTGTCAGTTATGGATCGCCAGGCATATAGCCTGCATCTACGATTGCCAAGCGCGTACTGCCCTGTCAACCCATAAGTGCTAGATTTCATCCCGGAACAGCTTTTAGCGAGCGAATGAGGATATGAATGTATTCACAACCAACTGCTATCAGCCTGCCATCTACTATTTGGTCCACCATGTATATTTTTGTGTACCAGATAATAGCTTGATTTTTCATTATCCTTAAAGAACAGAGACTGAGGCACTGTTCTTCAAGAGGGCCAGCTAATTTGTTGATAAGATCTCTTCGAAGCCAAAGGCGGTAGACAGACATGTTTACTGGAATACTACAGTATATCTCATAAAATGTCAACCAAAATTTTCAAATGTGTTTTCGATTCGAAAAAAGTACTTAACTAGGATTATGATACTGATAAGGTGTCTATTCTAATCTCAAGATATTCAGTCACATCAGGATGCCGACTTTTAAACAAGCTTTTTTCTGACCGGTTGAAAAAAGTATGCTTTGTAAAAATGGCTTCCTAAGCGGCTTGCATTTTTGTAATTAACTGTCACTGCCCTTACCATTCAAATATAGTTTACAGAAAATTTAATTAAAAAATGTTCTTGCTTGCACTCGTTTACTAGAACATGGCGCCTTCTTCAAAGTTAATACTTACCGAAAGTGCATATTTCGGTTTTAAAAAACTTTATAAATTGCCGATTACTTTTGAACCTTGCCAGCTGATACGCCTTAATTCAATGTTTCCAAACTAAATATTGTATAAATTCCGTCTAAAGAAAGCACGCATTTAACTACACCATGAGAAAGAGTTCAAATAGTCATCATAAACCTTCGTAATGCATGCGGATCATGCTGTATAGTTTACAGGCAACATTACGAAATTGACGGATCTGAGTCGCAAAATTAGAAAATCTTAAAAATTTGAAGATATCTTTCCCCCGAATATGAAATTTGAAGAAAGCCTAATTTTCTACCAAATGAGTGCAAGAAAAATAATATTTGGCATGTTTTCTACGTAAAATATATATGAAATTATATCGGTAGCGAAAATCAATGAGAAAAATGCATGCTACTTAGGTGGCTATTTCCTACAAAGTGTACGTTTTGTAGTTGGTTAGAAAATAATTCGTTTAAAAGCCGGAATCTCGAAGTGACTGAAATATCTCGGGATAAGGCCGTACGCTAATCTGTATTAGAACCCTACTTAGGTAACTTATTCCTTCGCATCGAAAACATTGGAGAATTTCGGTTTGCAGTTAATGAGATAGAAAATCTACTGTATAGGCGAGTAACATTGCCGGCAAAGACAAGAGACACTGGAATGGCCATTTCTGGCTTACTAGCCGTCATCAGCCGGTCATACCAAACCCCAAATAGTGCCCCGACCGAGACTCAGAAGTCTAACGCTCTAACCATTGGCTATTCCAGTCTCCCCCTGTCTTTGCCGGCAATGCTATCTGCCTAGACTACTAGCAGTTACTGGCGGGGCTCGAGAATTAGGTCAAGGTCAGAGTGAGTCGAATGATTTCCGTTATTGATCAATGAATGGTAATCAACGAATTTCAATCTACTGTATGTTGGATTAGCAGCACGAAAGACGAAGCGCACACAATGAGCATTCAAGTGATTGCCTCCCGCGGCATACCTGTTGTGACGGAGAAAGACTGAGAATGAGTTGACACTGCTTCTTGCGTTGCGTGAAGTAGTAGTGCTCAAACTCTGCACGCTCGCCGGACACAGCGTAGATGTGGAGACAGCGGTAGACCGGTCCGAAGTTGACCACATCCTCGATGTTGGTTCTCCCGTGTGCCCACGGTGAGGTGCTGTTGTTGGTGCCGGTGGAGGTGGAATCGTCAGGGTCCGCGGGCAGCGAGGCTGCAGCAGCAAGCTCCTTTAGCTCGGCCTCGAGGACTCCTACGTTGTAGAGGGAGGAAGAGAGAGAATGGATT